TAGAGACCGGTGCCTGAACTGCAACCCTAAACCCACTTCTTCAGTGCAAAGTCCCAACACTGCAATTAAACCTGAAGACTGAGGTTTTAGTTTAGAAAAAACTCATATATTAACACCTTTTGTCTTAAAAGAAAACCAGCACATAGGCCCTAGGTCCACTGCCACTGTGCTAGAGCAACGGGACAGATGCAAAAAGTGGGAGGATTCCAGAAAGAGGGCTGTGGACTTCACCCCATGGGGGACCCAGCATTGAAAAGGCATCATTAGTTGATGTTTTAGAAAGATGTCGACTGAGGAAAAGGAGACCAGCAAGGACACCTCTTAGTAAGGGGAACAACGCTTCTACAAGATCAGTGTTGGAAAGAAGAGGAGGGAAGGGCTACATATGAGTCCTAAGAATGCAGAGCTGAAAAGGCCTGTGGATTGCTAAAATGAGGAGCAAAAGGAAGAGAGCCATGGATGATGTAGAGATGCCCACTACTGTTACAAGAGAGAAAACAGGCAAAAGCAAAGTTGTGGGTTTTGTGCAAAGTGGTAAGATGATTAAGTTTGATTTTTGCTGTGTGAAGTTTTGTTTACACAGGATGTCCAAATGGAAATGTCAGTCTGAAAACTGTTCTGAGTTAGAGAGGATGAGCGCCAGAGTCCACAGCACTATGGGCAAGACAGAAGAAGACTCCAGTAGACTACGGTAAGTGAGAAAAGCAGTGGGCAGGGGAAAGACCCTGGGGAGACTCCAACATTTAACAGAGTAGCACAAGACAAGGCTGTTAAGATCAAGGCTGTCAAATGCGGTAGACAGAGAAAGGTCCACTAAGGAATGAAAAGTGCACCTAATTTAACAACTAGAAAGCTCTAATTGTGCATACTGCTTAGTTGTCTTGGTTGCAGACAACTGTATCTATCCAAGTTACTTTAAATAGAAAGATACCGAATAGAGGGTATTTGATAGTATATACCAGTGATGGCAAACCTTTTAGCGATCGAACTGCAACCCCAAACCCACTTATTTATCACAAAGTACCAACACTGAAATTAAACCTGGACAATGAGGTTTTCATTTAGAAAAAATAACTCTACACTAACATTTTTTTTTTTTTTAAAGAAAAACATAACACGCATGCCACAGGTTTGCCACCACTGGTGTATACAGTCTCTAGGAAGCACAGACATGGGTTGGGACGTTTTCCAGCCAGGAAGAGCAAAGCATCCAAGATGAACACCCACCCTCCCCGCAGGACTGTTATCAGGAGCCCCACGCCGCCACTTCGTGCTGCCTAGCCCATGTGCGCAGGCGCTATGGCTCCACCAGAGCTGCCCCAGGGAGGACGCAACTTGGCCGCTGTGCCAGATGAACTACTCTTGACCCAGGCCACCTGACAGAACGCTCATCTTCAGACTTCCAAAAGCCAACTGTCCCACGAGCAAGACCATCTGCAAATGAGACTTCTCTGCAGAAGCAACGATCAATAAAATGAAGATGGAGGCCAAAAAAAAAAAGCAAGAATAATCTTTATTCCTCAGAAATACACTTGTAAAAATGTTATCAGGAAGATGAGAAGGTTTGGAACACATTTATTTGGATGTAGCATACACACTGAGGATTGGAACGTTTTCTGAAATGGAATACACCTGTAAACAAAGATCTCAGGGAACTTGTAGGTGGTCAATTCCACTGTGCAGGGGACACAGCTCATTTCCTCCAAACAAGATTGATTTTTAGCAATAAAATATCTCAAAGGACACCAATACATTTTTGTAGCTTAAAATGGGCCAACTTACAATCATACCTATAAAGGTGGCACAACAATAGACTGATATCATAAAAGCACTAATAGAAAAAGTGTCTCAGGCCTACTAGGAGGAAAAGCTGTTTGACTTGACGTCAAATGGAGAAGTAAATAATTTGGTCCAAGTTTCACCCTACAGGCTGACACACTGTTTTCTGGTTCTACGAAAAGACTGGGGCTGTGCCCATCCCGCGTCTGCTACAGGACGCTTTGGCAGAAACTCCTTCAGACCCTACAGGCCCTCACTTGAGCCCTAAGTGCATCTCGGCTGCTTCCCAGGGGAACAAGGCCAGAGTAAAATCCAACCCCTGGTTGTGACAGTGTGTATCTACAGCGACGTCTTCTGAAATCACGTGAGTTAGCAGCACCAATCATTAAGATATTAAAAATTATACTTGAGCAGCAAATTCTATCAAAATGGATGCTATGCGATTCATGATTAGTACTAAGGCTGAAATTCCAAGTTGCTAAACTGCTTTAAGATATGAAAGTCAAAGTCTTGTATTTATATAACATCTAATAAGTTATATACTTTATTAAACTCGTGTCAAAGAAGGGGATATTGCAGTCTTCCTTAATGAGTAGTTTGAATGTATGTCTTTCACCTAAAAGAATTTAAGTTGTAATAAATCACAGAATTTTTGAGTCAGGGAGGACCTTGAAGGTCACGTGGTCCAATCCATTATTTTAAGGTGAAAAAATGAGGCCAATAAAGGGGGACATGATCCACCCAACTCACAGAGAGGCAGGGGCTGGAGTTTCAATCTTTGTAATATCACTGTGTGTCCTGCTAGCTCCCTAAGCTTTTTTGGTTTCATTTGCTCCTCTTAAATAACAAAGAATACCAGATATGTAGCAGGATGATAAATATAGACTTTTCCTCCAGTTTTAAAATCAGATTATCAAAATGATTCCTGAGCCTTTAACTACCTTCATTTCATCGAGAATGCGGTCAACAGTAAATTATGAATAGCTACGGTAGCTCTCCTCCAGTATGTACGTGGACACTGACAACCCCTCTTAGAAGAACTATTCCTTAAGACTCTTGCACGCACGTCCATGTGATGCCAAGATGCTTCTCATGGAAGGCAATGACACTACGATGGTGACCAGCAGTCAGACGCTTTGGTCTCTCAAAGTGCAGTCATGAGTTTGTCCCGGTACGTCACACTGTGCACCCCGCCCAAGTTCTTCTGGTTCTGGTCGCGTACATAGTCAAAAGGGCTGTCCTCTCCACTGGCCGGTGCCTTCCAGTGCGACTTGTCATCCTGAAAGGATGGCCTGTTTTGTTTGCAGAGTGAATGGTTAGTGGAAAAATGGAAGAACAGTGAGAAATGAGTGAAACAACACAAGTGCAGGGAAATGGACGGGGAAGAATGACTTGAGGTGGCTGACACATGGCAGTGAATGGAGTCGCTACTTTGCTATTTTAAAAACTCGGACACAAAAAACAAAAGACAAAAACAAACAACTTGGACACAGAGCACCAGCTTCCCAGACTGGAAAAGAGGGTCAAGTCAGTCTGGGGCAGTGCAGGAGAAGGCAGAAAGCTTCCTTTATCATACCAATGTGCAAGGTGACCGCTCTGGGTAGCACCTGCCAGAAGTGTCGGACAGGTGAGCTCTCTTTGCGTGGGGCATCTCTGGGGAGCTAGATAATCCACAAAATGTGGGCCCCTCCTCACAGGTTCTGACGCAGGGCAGAGACAGGCACTTCTGACAAGTTCCCAGGGGACACTAAACCTGCTAGTCTTCGGGGCTCTAGCACAACTCTCGAGAAAGTTGGGGTAGGTCATGCCTCCGAATAAAGCTATAATAGAATAGACAATGCTCGATATAAAATCTTATGAATCAGTGTTAATTAAATAAACTTCTGGCCTTATGTGGTGGTGCATGCCTATAATTCCAGTTATTCAGGAGACCAAGGCAGGAGGATTCCCAGTTTAAGGCCAACCTGGGCAACTGTGCGAGATCATCTCAAGATAAAATAAAAAGCAGGGCTGGGGGTATAGCTCAGTGGTAGAATGCTTGAAAGCATGCGTTAGGCCCTAGATTTAATACCTAGTACTAAAAACAAACAAACAAACAAACAAACAAAAAAACAAACCCAAAAAACAGAAACACCCCATCTTTCTGGAAAATAAATTATCTTTAAAATAGTAAAAGATCTAAAACTGTCACTCCAATAAAACTTGATTTAAAAAGTTATATGAGGGCCAGGGAGATAGCTCAGTAGAACAAGTGCTTGCCTGGCCAGTGCCGGGTCCTGAGTTCAATTTCCAGTACCACAAATAAATAAATAAAAAGTTACACAAATATTATAATGTGTGTAATAATAAAATTGTACTGCTGTAATACAGGATCCCCAAGAAGCTTTCACTGAACTCCTCTGCGCAGATTTGCTTCCACCACTCGATTCTCCCTTGATTGTCAAGGAGCTCAGGGCCTTACCTTTATGCAAACTGAACCCACCAACTGGCTCTGAAATACGTGGACACTTAAACGCCAATTAAGACTGATCTGAGATACAGATCTTATAGGTAGAGCTGAGGCGGCCACAGGGAACTTATAAGGATTAATTATAAAACCGGCACCACAGATAGATAACCTAGTTCCTTCAGCAAGGATCTGCAGGTTAGGACAGAGGCTGGTAAACCACACCCCTCGGGCCAAATCCTTCTGTTTTTATAGATAAGGGTTACAGAGCCAGAGCCAAGCCCTCTTGTTTACATATTGTTTTCAAGCAACAATGGTAACACAGAGCTGTTGTGACGGTGACCACAAAGCTAAAATTAATGACTATCTTTTTCAGAAAAAGCTTGGTTTATGGGGGAAAGATCCATAATTACCCAAACAAATGCTGTCCCCATCCTTGGGGGAAAAAAATCTTTAAGAAACCCCATGACAAAGCTTTCACTGCATTTTAAGTAAATGAATTTCTGAGGCAGGAAAATGTTACTCTGAAATTTTAAGCAACATTTCTGATATAAAGCCAAAAATGTCTGAGGTTAGAATGATTTTAAAATCCACTTTCACTGCACAAAGACTCTGAGCTGGCTTCCTGCAATTTGCAAATGATTCACCTCTGCCGCGACCCCCGGAGCTCTTTCTGCCACTGGTTGGTTTCCAGTTCAGCGCAGAGTAGAGTGGGGACTTCTCAGAGAGAGAAGAACTTCCTGAAGCCCAAACTGCGGCAGCTCTGAGCACTTACCTGACATTTGGAGAGTGGGGATGCCACCGGGGCTGGCTGGGGTGGACACTAGGATGGTACTGAGGCTAGAAATAAAACACCACACACGATTACTCGGCGGCCTGTGGGCTTCAATGGTCTTCATTCACTTTCTGGGGATATGAACAGAAAGGCTGTAACCAAGCCCCGGTGGGGCGGGCCTTTCCCAGGGCGATCGCATCTCCCCCCATCCCCCACCCCCCGCCCCGCGGATGCAGCTGGGGGGCTGGGATGCTGCCCAGAAGCCAGGAGACAGCATGTGCGGGGAAGGGGCGATCCTGCGCGTCCACCACGGGCCCTATTCCTTCTCCAGGGAAACAGGCGCCAGAGGGGCAGGTAGAGCAGGGGACGATTTCTCTCCTCAGAAGCAACATTTTGTTGTTGCTTAAAATGATGGCAACCATGTGCAAGGGTTATGCCTGGGTACCCCACGGAAGGGTGGGGATGCTACGCGAGGCTGCAGGGCTAAAGGAGAACTATTTTCTTCTTCCCTGGTATAAACAATAAAGATATTTTCCTAAAATGTAATTCAAAACAAAATGAATAACCATTCAGAGCACTTATCCTAATATAATGAAGACAGGTGAGGGAGGGAAGAAGGACAAATGGACAGAAGGAAGGAGGGTGGGGGAGAAGCTTCCTATCAGTGAAGAGGAGAAAACACAGAGCAGTGGCCAAGGTGCCGCTAGGACGGGCCTGGCTTGGGGGCAGGCTGTCTCGCCACTTCTGGCCTGCAGAGGGCAGCAACCGCAGACGCTGCAAAAAGCCGTGGGGCTTCTCAAGGCTAAACTTGCCAAGGGGCAATAGAGGCCCTTCTGACATTAAAGTCATTGCAATCTTGTCACTACCAATCTTTCCGTTTTTTCCTCTTCCTCCTTCTCCTGATGCTTTGGTTAATAAGCGGTAGCCTGTTCTTTCACCAAAAATTCTGTGTTTCTGTTCAGCCATTTTTCATGGATTTAAGATGCCCTCCCAGGGCTGGCCTGATAGCTCAGTGGATTAAAGCGCCTGCTTAGGCAGAGCACAGAGACCGGGGCTCGCAGCTTGGGAGGCTGAAAACAGGAGGATCACTGCGAGTCCAATTACGTAGTGAAACCCTGTAGACCCCATATCCCTGGTACTAAATGCATTAAATAAATAAATAAATAAATAAATAAAAGATGCCCTCTTTGCTTGTTCTGTATTCTGGTAGTCATTTTTTTTCCCCTTCAGAGATACCAGTCAGCAACCTTTGGCTGGAGGGCAAAGGAAGCTGGAGAGAATATCTCAGCTGCAGAATCTGAGAGCTGACCAGCGCTTCAGAATCACCCTGACACAATGTATTCTTATTCATCCCTTTTAGGGGATACAGAAACCTGCAATTTCCATAGTTTGTCCAAAGCCAAACTGCCCCAGGCTTCTAGGTCATCCAGCAAGACCCCAAATGAGGGTCCATGCATCAGGTCCTCAAGGAAAGAAAAATAACCTATAATAGGACCCACTGGTCTTTTCTCTCTTTAAAGTCACCCAAATTAGACTCATCATAGAGAGCCAGCAACCTTACAAACATGGCTGGAGGAAGGTGATTTCAGAGTCTTCCTCCAACTCCTGTGGTAATTTTGTCACACTCTCAACTGTCAACACTTTTAATGTTAACTGAGGTAGGTCTTTCAACTGGGCCAGGTATGTTCCTCTGGGGACATCTGGAAATACACGTCAGGCCTTTCTGTCACTATGACAGACAAAAGGGAAGCTAAACATACTGTCATTCTAGGGATAGTCCCAAACAATGACGGACTGTCCCTCCTCAAATGCCAATAGTGTCCTCATCAAGAACACAGCCATCCGTCCTCTGCAGTTGGCTGACCTTGTATGCTGGGAAGAAGACGAATGCTGCCACACCATCTTCTCAAAAGCCCTTCCCAGCATTCTGATATGATCAGGCCATTTCTTAGGACGGTCTCTTCTGAGTGAATTTACTCCCAAACCTTGACAGTGTGGCACAAAATTTCCTAAGACTGGCCAAGTGCAAAGGACCCGTGGTTTGCAACAACGTGGAAAGAACAATGTCTAGATAAGTCTCTGCAGCCCTGAATGCTCACTACAGGCAGAGAAGGTGCAGAGGCGGCATGCCTGCAGGGGAGAGGGGAAGGGCAGGGACTGCACTGAATAACACTGCTTTGCTTCATTTTTATTTTCTGTCCTTCAAGCAATGATCACCCATCAATGACCTTTCCTTTCCCATTCAACATCCCAGTTCCATCCAAAGACATCAATAAGGACAGTCTGTTAGCAAGAAGATTCAACAACCCAAGGCAGGCAAGGAGCCGGGGAAAGTGGATGTTTCTCTTATTAACGTCAAAGTACTTCTTGTTGCTCCCTACAATGTAGAAATCATTTCTAAACTCTGCACGACAAGGATGCGGCTTCATGTATAGAAGTCAGGGATCACTAAATCCTTCAGAAACTTAAGTTGGAAATCTCGTAACATACACTGGGATCTCACTCTCATCTCAGGAATTAGTGTCTTCAGTGACGGCAAATCCGGGATAATCAGAGTAAGACTCCAAAGTGAAATCCTGAATGAAGTGGCTTCCGTACACGCACAACCACTGAGAGAAGGGCCCTGGGAGCCAGGAGAAGAGTGCCTTTCGGACACGCACATCTAGCTAGGAGGTGTCCTACTGTGGCCTGGATTAGTTTTATCTCTCAGGGATGAATGGACTGGGCCCAGGGCAGTGCTATACAAGATGGGAAGAGCTAGCAGGGAGAGATCTGGAAGCACTGCCTTTAAAAGAAATGGAGGTAGTTCCTACTGCACTAGCAAGCCTGGCCCTGCCTCTCGCCCTAGCTGCCCGTCTTGCCATGTGATATCGATCGCTCCCTCCACACATGCTCCTGCCTCTGGGATATCATCCTCCACAAGGGTCTCGCCAGAGCTAAGCAGAGGCCAGCACCAAGCTCTTGAAGTCCTAATGGTGTGAGCTAAATGAACTGCGCTTTTTACCTTATAAGGTGCCCAGCATCAAGTATTTTGTTACAGCACAGACAAGACCACTACTACACAGTCCCAACCTACAAGTCATCAGACACGGAAGCTGGCAGCAACAGAAAGCACATCATCCACAGGGTCTTCCAACTGGCTGCCCATGAGGACACTTTGTGTTCTGACCCCAGGCCCAGTTCCACTCCTAGTTCCTGTTCGCTTTTTCAGGGGTGAGGCCTAACACTAGCCATTTTTTAAAAACGCTGGTCAGACAGTTTTAATGGAGCAGACTTGAAAATACTGGGGCCAGTAGCTTTCAACTGTGAGGATCAGGAGGAGGGGCATTTTAGTGTACAGATAGGCGGCAAAGATATTCCAAACAGATGGGCATGAGCAAAGAAGAGTAGGAAGGAACCAGGGGAAAACACTTACGCAACTCTTGGCAAGCGGAACAGATAGCGTATGATGAGGAGCGGTAAGAAACTGACGCACAGGAGCCAGAGCCAGGGCACAGAAGGCTGTGAGTGGCCAGAGTGCCAGCCACCGTGGCTTAGGAGGGGCGCCTGGGCTCAGGCTGGGCCTTCTGTGCTTGCAAGAGCTTTGGCAGGGGGTGGGCAGGCAAATGGCCAGCGTGGTCCTATGGAAGGCAAGATCAACCGTGGAAACAGCCCTATGTTCCTTCTGCAGGTAATGAGTTTTACAAAGCGGATTTTAGAAACTGATGCTCCATTGATGTTAATGGGGGTGGGGAGGAGGCGAGGCTGGTGTGTTATGGGGGGAGGGCTAGATACACAAATTATTCTTTTTAATTTTTTTTTTTTTTTTTTTTGGTGGAACTGGGGATTGAACTCAGGTCCTTGTGCTTGCCAGGCAAGTGCTTATTCCACTGAGCTATCTTCCCAGATCCCTGTTCTTTTTAATTTTTAAAAACTTTATTTATTTCTCAGACTCGTAGTGATCCTTCTGCCTCAGCTTCCCCAGTGCTGGGATTACAGGTATGTGCCACCATGCAGTTTCAGGGCCAGCACGGCATGGCTGGGGCTCTGGGGCTGGCATAAGGTGCAGTACCGGGGATTGAACCCAGGTTCTTGCGCTTGCCAGGCAGACGCTTGGACCACTGAGCTATCTCCCTAGCCCCTACACAAATTATTTTGAGAAATGCTGGATTAGAAAGCCACGTGTCATTCTTAGGGATTTCTTAGTATGTTCCCATCCCACTGGGCACTGTGGATGCTTAGGAGGGGGCGATATTGCTAAGCACCTGACATAAGCCTCCGCTCCTAAAGGCGTGTTGCAGAGCCTCAGGCTCACGAGGCCGAGGACACACTGGATGAAAAGCTAGCTCACTGAATGCCCCTCAGAGAATGCTTTGCCACCTAGGAACTTACGTCTATGTCCCTGATGCTTGTCACCTGATGAGGTGAGACAAAACATGTAGCTCCGAGGACCAGGGGAACCAGGAGGGAAGGGGCCTCTGCTTACTGTTTTTTCAAAACATGTCGTATTTCTTCAAAATCTGAAGACTACTCATTGTGGAAAATTTAAAGCTTTAAGATGTGTAAAAGCAGGCTCTCACCTGGTAATTATGGACTTCAGGATTTGTTTTAGAGCTAAAAGAAAAAGGAAAAAGAAATTGTAGCTTTATAGAATGGCATTATTCTGGATATATGTCACAAACAGTAACCTTCTCATTCATAACTTTGAAGCCCACCCATACAAACACAAGGTAATATTTCACAACGTAGCTGCGACGTGATACTTTAGTGGCAGAGAGGAGCCCCTTTCCATAGGCAAACCAAGTGCTTCTGGCTCCCACTGCAGACCCGGCCCAGCAGCAGCTGGCAGCCCCACGGGGCCAGGGAGCCTCCTGGGTGTGGAGCGTCTTCCCGCTGGAGATTCACAGGCACTGCATACCAGCCACCAGGCACTGCGGGGAGAGCCGGGGGGCCCGTGCTCTTCGCTGCGCCACTGTTGATGTGGCTAGCACCGTGGAGTGGTCGCACGGAGCTCTGTGCTGGGACTTCACATCTGTCACTGTTTGATCCACACACCACAAGGCGGGAGGTCAGTGATGTTTCCTAGCACCTCGTCTTGCAGATAAAGGAACAGCTGCCTAACAGGGCTTTGGAAACCCACCCAGGGTCACCCAGCTAGTCAGTGGCAGAGCTGGGATCTGGACTCAAAACCTGCTCAATCGTAAAGCCTATCTTTTTTCATCCAACCAAGCTAGCTCTTGAAGGTTCTGTAGAAAGGCTCAGAGCTCCTTGTGAATGGTCCTATTTTGGTAGAACTACTCTCCCAAAGGAAAAAGAGGAGAGAGAACAGGCTAGTGTGAGTTAAACTCACAGACACCAGGCCATCACTGGGCAATCACTGTCAGTGGGGTGGTGGGCTTGAATCCAAGGTTTATTGCTTTAGCAGCCGTGAGAGGAAACTGAGGCTTGCCTGGGGTCTAACAGCTCTATGTTCCGGGTTGTGGATAGAGCCAGGACTTGCCAAGCTAGGTGGCGACTTAGATGTTCATCTGGTGGCTTAGATGTTCTGGGAGGTGCTATTTTTCCAGAAGCACCTCTGCGGCCCAGAGCACGGTTGCATACAGGCCTCCCACAGCAATCTTGCTCATCCCAAGGGTCCCACAGGCTGCCACAAGCAACCCAACAGCTGCGGCGAGGCAGTGATTAGCTCAACTGTTCCTAAAGGCTGTACTGCATTTGTTTTCATTCCCAACCACTAGATGCTAAGAGGAAAATGCCCTTTTATTAGGCAAATACAAACAAACAAAGCAATCACTTCTAAAAGAGCAAAGGAGAGAAACTATAGCTTGCAAACTGCTAAGAAGAGTAAGACACGTGCCTGGCTAACGAAGGTGCCAATACTGCGGATCCTAGACACAGGGCACACCTGCAGCCTCCAGCTAACACAGGTGACACGCACACTACCACTTCCTCCCAGCAGGACAGAGACAGCGGTTCAGCAGTACCAGGGAGTTATTCTCTAGATGTCTGGAATGCACAAAACTCAGAGGCAAGGCCCCTGGCAGAACAGCACTGCCACCACAGCGTGGAACCAGAGAGACAGGCTGAGCTCCCGGTGGAGACAGGAGAGGCTGGTCCAGTTCTCCAGAAGCTGAGGTGCCTTGAAGGTGCCTCTGGGTGGGACTGGCCAAAGGGCTGAGTCTTCCTTTCCACTCAACTTCCTTGAAAATAAATGCACTTTTTTTTTTCTTTTTTTGCTATACCAGGGATTGAACTTGCGGCTTTGTGCTTACCAGGCAGGTGGCACTTATGCCACTAAGCTATAACCCTGGCTAGATTCACTTTCGTTACCTTGGCTTCTACAGTATGTTGGGCTTCTTCTGGTGTGTGGAAATTAAAGACTAGAAATGTTGGGGAAACAATGATCTATCCCTATCTTCTTGATCAGAAATGAGAAAAGGGGAGTCCCCAAGAAGGCAAAAGTTCCTAGAGGTGGGTCAGAGCAAAGCTAGTGCTGGCAGGGAGACTCCTGAGACACCCTGTACCACCACATGCCACCGGTCAACTTCTTAGCTGAAAGTGTGCATCTCAGTCCATCTTCCCCAGCAGCCTAGGGTGAGTCGGTGACCTGCCAGTACCTGGAGATCAGACCAAGGCCTGAACTACTCAAATCTGTAGTTCTCTTGTAGGACAGCCAACAGGTCCAAATTTACCCAGGAAAAGCAGTAACTGCACAGAGAGACAGGGGCATATGCCAGGAAGGGTGGCGGTGCTCCCACCAGCTGCACAATAGGCTCCCGAGGGGAGCTCTGAAAACCAGAAGTCGACATTCCAGGCCCATCCAGAGCTGATGTGCGTGGCCCAGGTATGGCCCGGGCGAGTGGGACGCGTCAGAGGTCACCAGGTGACTGCAGTGCACAGGCAAGATAAGAGCCTTTCCCCCTCTTGGGGCAAATCTGGCCTGCTGGTATTTGTGAATAAAATTTTATTGGGATGCAGCCATGTTCATTCATTTTCGTATTGTCCACAGCTGCTTTAGTGCTACACCAGCAGAGCTGAACAGCTGGAGAGGGGACAGCACAGCCTGCAGAGTCAGAAGCCTTTCCCATCTGGCCATTTCCAGAAAGTTTGCTGGCTCTTGCGCTGGAGATTTCACTTTTTCTCCTGCAGGAATTTCAGACACGAAAGAATGTCACACCTGTGTGACATAGTGCACACCCAGCACCTGCTGTCCTCTAGCCGGTGCTCAGGAGCATGGCCTTCCTTCCCCATCACCGCCTGACACGCTGTTGGCCCTGCGAGCCATACACATTTATCACCCTTATCATCCACTGTCACACTACACAAAGCACAATATTACTCAAACAGAGCAGCTGTGTTTTCCAGAAAAACAAACTGTCTTGGAACATTCTGTTGTGTACTTATTGAAAACCAGGAGGAAAGTATAGGTGGGCAGGCAGAAAAAGGAAAAAAAAAAAAATCAGGTGACTCATTCTGACTTAATTGTCTTAAGAAAAAAGTCAATAAAACAAACAAACATGGTCATCAGGAGCGAGGCACTCCAGAGTCTGGGCAGCACTCACCAGAGCTGCGCAGCTATCACGGGGTTGCTTGCTGTAAAGGAAAAGGAGAAAGTTAGGACAGTTTGGGGAGCTTTCAACTTTCACCAAAACCAGACTCACAGTGAGTGGCAAAGAGGCTTCTCTGACTCCTCACACCACAGAGCAGTGTGCACGGCACCGAGGGCCCTGCGCTGGCTGGTTCTCTCCTGCAGGAGTGAGCCGTCCCTTCCTCCAACTCGCTGGGCATTCCTTCTGCAAGCAGGTTTCCAGGGTCAGGACACTGGGATGTGGACCCAAGAGGGATTGGAAAAGAGAGCTGGACCTTGCTCTGGAGAAGCGCATGGGTCTTGGGTCACAAGCAAGAAGCCCTGAGTCTTATCTAAGACTGGTGGGGTTTATTCATCTATGTTCCATTTCCCCCTCACCATTTTGTGTTTTAAAGGTCTATGGCTGGGAAAATCATTAAATCTTCAAAAGAAGACGCTAGGACTCTGTCTAGAAAAAAAAAAATCATTGAAATAAAGGTGGCAAAAGGAGCTGGAGCTCAGGAAGGAGGGAGGGAGGCAATCACGGAACCAGGAGTCTGGAACAGCTGCGGGCCATGTAGTGGGGTCAAGCCACGGCTGCAGCAGCCCTGTGGGGCTTGTTCCCTCGGTGCCTACGTACACCTGTGGGGACTGGGAGCCCGCTACTGTCTCCAAACGGGGCCTATTATCTTTGGAAAATACTTCCTTTATGGGGCTGTTCTTGGACAACTGTACCATAAGGGACAATACACTCATGCAGGATCCTGCTAAGGAGGCAACAGCCTGGAACGGGGGCTTCCCCACCCCCACTGGGGCCACAGTCGCTGCTCCATTAGCTGCAATCACCCTTCATCAGCCAGCGCCTCTCTCCAGCTGTTCTCAAAGAGGAGGCCACATTTTCCTGGGCTCTGGGCACTTTTTCCTCCAGTAAAGCAGCTAAGAATGACTAAGGCTTCCTGGCTACCTAGCTACGGTGCTGCTGGCTTATAAAGGAAGGAAACTAGGGCATCCAAGGTTAAATGTTCTAGAAGGGTAAGCAGAGGAGAGGGCTCCGTGGAGGACCATTAAGTTCTGAGGTGTGCAAGAAAAATATGTGGAATGGATACAAATAAATGACAAGCACAGTGAGGGGACCCGGGAGTGTAGAGCCCCGCTATAAAAGAATAGTTTAGTGCTAACCTAGGTGGCCTGAGTGGAGATACAATCCAGTATGGAGAGAGAAGAGTTATGACACAGGCTTTGAAGGCTGAGCTTAAGCAGGTATGAGCTGGACGTGTTTATTCACTAACCGAGTGTGTGCTGATTGTGGCCCCCACACAGGTTTAAGCCATAGCAAAGAGAGACAGACAGAGATAGAGATGGGGGGGTATGGGAAGAGAGGAGAGGGGGGAGGGGAGAGAGAGATAAAAAGGGAGAGGGAGAGGGAGAAGGAGAGAAGGAGAGAGGGAGGAGAGGGGGAGA